TCGAAACTGTTTGTACGTGCATGCAAGTTTTACATATAAATTCAATTAAATTAAAAAAATGGTCAATCAAATGAATTTGAAAACACTCCTACAGGACGATCACATCTCTGCTTTTACTGTTCTTTTTGTCATAAGCAGAATCCAGTTTGCACTTTTAGCTGCCTCTTAGCTACCTTACCATTCCGATGAATTATCACACCTAGATTTTTTTCCTCTTCTTCATTTTTTGCGTCTCCAAGTTTGAATACGTTTGCCTTGTTGTTTGCTCCCATATGTATGACTGCACATTTGCTGGTGTTGAATACCATCTGACAACCCTCAGCTCATTCACATGCATGAATTTTAATATCTTCATCGTTGTCAACAATGGCATATAATTTAGTGCCATCTGCAAATTTTGAACTTTTTGACTTTATTCTTAGGCCATTGTGTTTAATGTTCACTACAAATAGCAGAGGTCCCAATACGGATTCTTGAGGAACCGCACTTGTAACTTTGCTCAAGTTATAAATGATGTTCCTACATGAAATATTATAATTTGAATTATAACAACAACAAAATTAAATCGGTAACCACAATTTAGAAATATATTGGACAAGTTCTAGACGCATTTGAACTGAGAATTAAAAAAAATTTAAAGTTGAATGGTGATTGTTTTGCCACACACCCCTCTAAATATTTGGTGATGCCACTCACCACGGTTTAGTTTGTCGTCAGGGTGGGGGCCGTCAACTACGTCACTCAGCATTGAACGACTACATCTGCCAGCTCTCCTCCAACGAGTTAATGTACCCACATAAGATAACCATTTTTAGTTTTTCGTTGTTTGTGGCCGCCATTCATGTGCGTGTTGAGGTTCAGTCGTCAATGAATTTACTTAATTACGTAATTGAATTGATTTGAAAAGCGCATTTTTTAAACAGACACACACACACACAGACACACACATACATACACACATATACACACACACATCAAAATGTAAACCATTTACAAACCATTTTTACATTTATATTTGTACTCATTAACTAATTACCTCAAGAAATTGGTTCAAGCCACACGCTATACCACTTATACCAATTTATGTGTATTGTATGTATGTACATATACTGTGTGTGAGTTATTTTATTGAATTGTAATCTGATGTGTGTATATGTGTGTGTATGTATACTTATGTGTATGTGTGCGTATGTACATGTGTATGTGTGTATATATACAAGTATGTGTGTATGTGTGTATATATACTAGAATGTGTGTGTGTGTGTGTGTGTGTGCGTGCGTGTTGGTGTGCCGGTGTGCCGGTGTGCCTGCCTGTGTTCGTACATGTCTGCACTCCAGCTTGGCTTAATGAAGACAATAGTTCTTGAAGTAAAAGAGAGGAACGACTTAGTTAACTTGCTACTCGTTAATTAAAAGACATCATTAGGGCGACTTATGGCACTTGTGTGATCATGTGTTGGCCCTCATCGTCCTCGTCATCATCATCATCATCGTCATCATGGTCATCATCATCACATCGTCG